GTTGGGAGGAGGCTAAGACTGGTTTCCAGAACCCCAAACCCTAAACGCTGAAACCCAAAGTTTCAACCCTAAACCCGAACCCCCAGTGTTTAACAATGGAAAGCTGGCCATGGTCGCAGGGAAGGGCGACAGAGGAAGAGGACTGGCAGGAGACCGGAGACGTGGTTTTGCGCACGCCAGGCTGGGGCAATCAAGCCTGGCCTCCAACTTGGCTGCCTGTGCCAGTACGGCCGATGCGCGGCACTGCTGGAAGACTGTCGGCTGCAGTTGTCAGCTCCACGGAAGAGTGCAACCGAGCTCAGGCTTTTTTCGAAGATTTGCCGGTGTCAGATCGCAAGGGCCGCGATAAGACTGGTATCGGTTTCAAAGGTTCTGCTGTGGTAGCAAGCCGGTCACTCTCGTTGCCTTCCAGTTCGAAGACATTGCCACGAGACTTGCAAAGCACGACAACGATTTCGTTGTTGGTGGCAAATGTCGGCTTCATCGATCGCAGCCGGTGCTTGTCTGATTTCATAGCCGGCAATTTCTCGGTCAGTCTTCTTCAAGAGGCTCACTCCTCTGGCATCTTGCATCGAGTTGCAAAAGCACGGGACATAGGCATCTTGGAAGGCGAAGGCCGCGTTGGCTCCTCCATGGCCATCTTAGCTGGACAGGCAGGGACTAAGTACATAGGCCGTATATATCCGACCTGGGATGGTATGATGGAAAGGCCTTACAAAGAATCTGCCAAAGAAGGAGATCGCTTACATGCATTAGTTTGCCTGTCAGCGGAGGTGCAATGGGTCAATGAAGCGAGCGGTGCAGTTATAACTCGAGCTGGCCTGAACTCCTTCCGGGTTACCACGGTGCATGTTCACAACGACGAGAAGCGCTCCGTCGAGTCTTGCAACCTTGCATTGAAGACTTTATTCTGGCTGGCGCTCCGAGACAAGCATCGTGTCGTTGCAGGCGACTTCAACCTAGAATCCCAGGCCATTCGTGACGCAGTGGGCAGTGTTATCGAGCACTTCGAGGGAGCGAGTTACGAGGTTTTGCATGGTAATCGCAGCACGGAGATCTGTTGTGTGCTGCTGAATTTCGCAAACCTACCTCAACTGCGAGGCGAAGTGAAGAGCGCGATAGAGGCGCGCTGGACGAGCGAGGAGTTGCGAGTCTCAGAGAACGATAGGGACTCACACTATCCCCTCATCGTTCAAATATCACCGCTGGAGATGCGGCGCAGCGACTTGCGTAAGCGATCTGCGGAATCATATGCCAAGCGAACAGAGAAGAAGTCCAAACGATCTTGGACGAAGGGCCGAGGTCTGAATCCTTAGAGGACTTGCTGTGCATGCTCTGTTTGGCTCTAGAGAATGATCGCTATCTCGGATCCCAAACTTCGAGCCCTGCATACGCCCACGTACTCCCACATAGACGCTGATTCTGCAGAGATAAGCCATGAGCCCCTAACAACTTCTTGGAAAGACCCGTGACTTCCTGACTTAGCACTCGTTACTCTCAGCCAGTTGTGCGCTCCTGGGGATTCGAGGGTGGAGTCTTTGTGTCACAGTCTGCAGGTTCTCAGAACCTTTCTTTCCCAACATAGGAGTGCCCCTAATACTTCTCCAAATGCTATACTAGGAGCCTCCCACAAAGGGCGCCCCTATATTCGGAAACCCACCGAGGAACTCAGCACTGGCCCCGGCATTGATTCTAGGATCCCGTACCTTTTCAGCCAGCTCCGTGCATACAACATTGGGATTATAGCAACGTGGCAGAGCCTGCAGACCAAGTTTCACGTGCGTTCTTGCTCCCGAGGATGCAATCGTTGTAGTCAAGGTCATCTTGCGTGCATTTTGGCCACCTCGCCCACATGTCACATTATCAGTTACAGCGAGGAGGCCCCCTACCCGTTTCCTCAAGCCATGTCGGAACAAAACCATCCAGCCTCGCTGCAGGTTTTCGGGCCCCATGGGACCATGGGGCCGTGGGAGCCATGGGAGCCATGGGTGGGGCGGGTGGAGGGCGGGAGGGCGGCGGCGGGCAGGCATTGGGGGCCTTTAAAGTCAGCTGAAAGGGTCTAGGGTCCAGGGGCATGCATGGGGCCATGCAGCCATGGGAGCCATGGGTAGCGGGCGGGGGGGCGGGCAGGCACTGGGGGCCTTTCAAGTCAGCTGATAGGGTCTAGTGGGTGGGCTATGGGGCCATGAGGCCATGAAGCCAAGGAGAGGGATGAAGCGACGTTATGGGTCTTCACTTTGACCCCCCTCCCCCCCACACGCGCACGGCCAGTGACAAAAAGGCCTGAAAACGGAGCTTTTGGGCCTCCCAAAGCTTCCAAAACCAGCTCTTTCTGTCACTGCCCGTGCGCGCCCCCCCCCCCCCCCCCACACACGCGCACGGCCAGTGACAAAAAGGCCTGAAAACGGAGCTTTTGGGCCTCCCAAAGCTCCCAAAACCAGGTCTTTCTGTCACTGCCTGTGCGCGCCCCCCCCCCCCCGCGCGCACGGCCAGTGACAAAACGGCTTGAAAACGGAGCTTTTGGGCCTCCCAAAGCTCCCAAAAACAGCTCTTTCTGTCACTGCCCGTGCGCGCCCCCCCCCCCCCCCCCCCGCGCGTGTGCGCGCACGGCCAGTGACAAGAAGGCATGAGAACGGAGCTTTTGGGCCTCCCAAAGCTTCCAAAACCAGCTCTTTCTGTCACTGCCCGTGCGCGCCCCCCCCCCCTCCGCGCGCGCGCGCGCGAACGGCCAGTGACAAAAAGGCCCGAGAATCGCTCATATATAATGTATAGTATACCACACCTCATTACATTATATATATATAATATAACATAACATAATAATTATATTATATAATATAATTATTATATAATATAATATATTAATATAATAATATATTATATATGATATATAATATATAATATATAATATATCATATATCATATATAATATATAATATAGAATATAGAATATAGAATATAGAATATAGAATATATAAATATATAATATATAAATATAATATTAATATTAATATAATAATATATAATATATAATAATTATATATAATATATAATATATATATATATTAACTATTATATATAGTAATATATATATATATAACTATATATTTTATTATATTTATATATTATATATTTTCTATATTTTCTGTTATATATTATATATTGTATATTATATATATATATATATATATATATATATATATATATATATATATTATGATATGTAATATTATATATAATATATGGTGGATAATATGTACTATTTCTTATTCTCTACATTGCAAGAGTACAGTTTATGTCTTACATGTTTTTAATAATGCTGCTAAGGTCAAGCAGCTCCGGGACGAGTGCCGTTCCAAGGGCTTCAGAGTCAGGGGAAACAAGCACACCCTCGTGACGCGTCTGCGGGAATCTGCAGAGGTGGGCGGTTTAGGGTTTCGGAACACCCTAAACCCTTAACTGCCCTCCAAAGGCTCCCGTCCCGGTGCCTCCTGCGGGTGGGCAGAAGCGCAAAGCCAGCACAGTCTGGCGCCTAGTGCCTTGTGCTCTCGCATCCCTATCCGCTGGCAGTGCGCCTCGCTCGATTGCAGGAGCCAAATCCGACACCTGCTGATGAGACAATATGCTTGCAGCTGCACGTGGAGCACAGTGAGGAGTATAGCGGTGAGCAATCTTTTCAGTTTCGGATGAGGATGAGGACACAGTTATGGAGAATGCGGGTTCGCCTGGCGAATGCGCTGGACATGCACGACGCGGATCGCGTGGAGATAAGACTCCGCGATCGTGTCATTGAAGATCTCGCTACTTGTCTTGACCTACTGTTGTGTGAGTCAGACGTCTAATCTCACCCTCTGCAGAAAGTTTCTGATCCTGCAAAGTCTTCTGAGGACACTCCGGGCGGCTTGGGCCTAGACCGCGATCATGTTTTGCAGGCCAGCTGACCCACTAGCTCGGGCTGTGACGTCCTGACCACCATATGCTCAAGACCCCCAAGTACCACTACCGAAGGCTCGCATTCTGCCAGCCTTCGAGGACGAGAAGTGAAATTTCTTGTCTTTGGCCTGCTAACGGCCAGCAATCTCTAGAACAGACGGCCTGCTGCTGCATCTTCACGCACTGTTTGTTGGAAAGGGTTTTCTCAAAAGCTCTTCTTGGTCAGATCAGCTGCAGGTTAGCACTGTACGCAGTGCTGGGGCACGTCCCTCTGGGGTCAGCTCCTGTAGGACTGATGGGACTAGCAGGACACAGATCCTGCTGCTGAACTGGCATGTTAACCCTGAGCATGGTGCTCCCTAGCCACATAATACCATATAGTACTACGCTGTTGGAGAAACCCCAAGCCACTGTGAACCGACAGCACAGAGCACAGGCCTTGCCTGCAGAGCCGTTTCTCCCGGCAGAAACAGTGGTTGCGGGCGAAGTTCACGATTTCAGTTGGTCAGGCTTCAAGGTTTGAGGCGACGTTTTAGGGCTTGGGGTTGGGCTTGGCATGGTTTCGGGGGCATTTTGTGGGTAGTTGAAGGGTCACAGGCTTTGTGGCTATCATGCACTGAGGCACAAATCCTTATCATGGTTAAGAGATTCCTTGTTGTGGTTAAAAAAAATGGGTCCTTATTGCGGTTACGACCCCGCCTCCATAGGCTAAATTGCTGCGAGTGTCGGGCTTAGCCATTCCCAGGCCCTACAAGCCTACACCTTAAATCCCGCTCAATTCACACCACTGGCACCCCAATCCCAAACCCCACTAGACTGTGCGGCTGAAGTCGGCTCGGGGTCTCGCGGGCTCCTGCTCACGTTTGTTGCTTCCTGCTTGGGCGGTTTAAATGCTCTTTCGGGATTTGGGAAGTATGCTGGTAAGAATTTCATGGCTTGGAAATCAGGACGGCAACCCAGCACTAGGGCAACACGGAATGGCAACGAAGCGTCAGGTGTGCCTTCACTGTCGCTGGTCTTTTCCTGTAGTGATGATAGGGCCCTGCTTGCGTATCCCACTTGCAAAGGTATGCCCTCAAGTTCAGCAACTATGACTACTACCAGTTTGTCCCTGCTGCCTGTGTGGGGGTGCCCCTGTACTTCATGAAGGCGATGCACATCGGCACCTTTGTGGCAGGGAGGGTTCAGGCCCTGAACTCTGAACTTCGAAAGCTCCCGAAGCCCCCAACCCAAAACTCCCTCCCCTCCCCGCATTTCCCGCCTTCAATCCGTCGCATGGTGCGCACGCCCCTTGGTGGAGTTCTCCTTCACGTTGGGAGTGTGGTCGCATGTGAAATTCCTGCAATTCCCGCTTGAGGCAATCCTGCCATCGTGATGCCACTGGGCATCCTACTGCCCTTAGCCATCTTCTGGGGCATCGTCCTAGGCGCAGGCTACGACGTTGTGGCTCGGCCGCGTGCCGGAAGCCTCAAGCCCCCGAAACCCTAAGCCCTCCTCGTGCCCACCAATCACCTGACCCTCCTAAATTCTCAGACCCAAAAGTTTCTTCGCGAAGCAGCACGAAGGGCCTGCAAGAGCGTCCGGCCTCTAAAAATCCTCAGCCCTTGAACCGTGCAAACCTTGACCGGAAGCCGTTTATCCTTCGAACCGGACAAGCCAAAAGTGGCGCTTTTCTCCCTTAGCCGAGATTATCGCCACGGTTTTCGTGCGAAAGTAAAGTGGCCAGTGTAAGGTAGCATGCAAAAAGAGGCACGTACCATGCTTTGGCTTTTGATGTGCCCTGTCTCCAGGAAGCGGACACTTCAGACTTCTTCTTTCCGAAGATGAGCAACGTGCCGTTCTACCTCATATGGACCGATAGCATCGGCCAGTACAGCCCCTCCGAGAAAAAAGCTATACTCTCTGTGTGGGGGAGTGATGTCGGCCCTAACATCCCTAACATCCCTAACATCCCTAACATCCCTAGTCTGGCTCGGCTGCGCTCTGGACCTTGAGGCAAGATCAACTTCACTGCCTGGGTGTCCACCTTCACGGATCTCGGGTGGCTCTGGCATTCTTGGGGGTCGCGATCGGAAGAGTTTCTTCCTTCCCTCCCTCCCTCCCTCCTTCCTTCCTTCCTGCATTCCTTGGTTCTTGCCGCGTTGGGCACCGTAGGCTTTTCATCTGTCCGAGCCGCAATTCGGATGTTGCGAATGGGCTTGAGGCTTGTGCAAGCCGTTCATTCCAGCTGGCCAGGCTTCAGCGGGTTGAGGGATGTCGAGGGGTCTCCAGAATCTGTTCCCCGCCCGTGCCCAGGATCATGATTCTTGTGGTGGTCCTGGACTGCTCCCTCAAGCGCCTTGCAGCAAGTCTCCGTTCGGGCTCTGCAGAAGGGAGCGTCGGTTTGTTGAGAGTGTTGTGCCGAAGATGCACGCGAGAACACACTTCAGACATCAATAGGCACACATGTTCCTACTTGCATGCAGGATGCGTATGATCACGGCTCATACAGCTTGTAAGGGCATTGTCATGTGTTTCCCTGCATGGGCTTCCTGCCCGAGGATCTCCTCAACCGAGAACAAGATTCCTGTCAAGGTGGAGCACGCATGCATGCACACACCCACTTTCACGCGCACACGAACAGAGTGTTTTTGAATTTTGAGCCTGGAAGTTGTGGCTTGGAGATCTAGTCTACTTTCAATCTAAATGTGGGCTTTGGGTAGCTTCGTGCTGCAGAGAAGGCAGAGTTCTGGCGCAGAGTCCCTAAGCTCAATGCCCCCCCAGGCGTCGATGGGGAAAAGCAGACCTCGAGATCCTCTAAGGATCCTCAAGCCCACAGTGTGCAACCTAGCGGCAGCATGCAGCTCGACAGGTTGACAAGAACTACGAGATCTCGTTATACGGGGCCGTGAACGCTCTTGTGTCGCTCTTCGCGTCGACGGTCGGACTCCCGTATGGCTTGAGTACGTTCAGGGTTGAGGCTGTTATTCTAGTCTTCACGGCGACTTTGCGAAAGGTGTGCAACAATGCACTGAAGCCTTGCTAAGCCTGACAGCGCGGTGGCGAATCAGCACACCGCCACGGCTCTCATGTGTCCCGAAACTTGAAGCCCCAAGCTGCGGAATCCGCTCCAGCCAAGGATACATGCAACTGAAGTTTAATGTGCCTTGGCTGCCTTGGCATCTGTGCTCGGTGCGACTGCAAGAGACAAACATGCCGGCAACGGAGCCTTTCTTTGCATCCCCGAAGGTGGAGCCCGAAACATATTCTTCTCACGCGCATACATCTTTTTACACTCCGGCCGACCTCAAGCAACCTGAAAACATATTTGCAGGTCATCAACTACGGAGTCATGGGCAATGCGGTTGACCGACGAGCAGGTGGGGCTGAGACGGACTGAGAGAACATAGAAGAATGTCTGCCATACGGGAGCTGATGTACAATGACCCACCCTCATCCCTCACCCGGAGAGCAAGTTAGGGGGGCAGGAAGTTGAACCGCACCAATCCTGTGAAATCCTGGGAGCCGACCCAACAACATGAGCACAAGAGCCTCTGCGAGCCGTAACGTGCAAGGGCGGGATGTAGGGTCGTGGAGGGGCAGGTGTGGCTGGTGTCGGATTCTTGCGGGGGCCACAACCTCGGTGTACTGTACGGAATGAACCGATCTTGAGTTGACTCAGAAGGCACCTGAAAGCCTCAGCAATTCCCCTAAACCCTGCTAGGCTCCTTATTATTTGGCCACCAACAGCTTGTCCTTAGACAACTCCGAGGCCGAACCCTTGAAACCCTTGAAACCCTTGAAGCCCTGGGAGCCCTGGAAGCCCCCGAAGCCCTTGAAGCCCGAAGCGGCTCCCCCGAAGCTTGACGAGGCATCATCTACTCGCTGCTCTGCGGTGCCGCTTGCCCCCAGCAGAGCTTCGAAAGGGTTTAGGGAGTTTAGGGTATGGGAGGGCGCGCAAGCATAGATGTGACAACCGCAGGTGTCATAATGTTCTATTGCCGTAGCATCATCTCATGGTTGCTGGCATCCTTCCTGTGCTATTTGTTGTTTTCATGTCATGAGGGTACTGTAAGATGGAGGAGGCTTTGGGTTTAAATTTCATCCGTAAAGGCACCTGGGATTCGGAACTTGGGCTTGAGCTTCGAAGGGGAACGAAGGAGGCAGCTTCTTCAGGGAGTTCAAGCAGCGGCCCTGAAAGCCTCATGCTGCTTGCGTGCAACCTGAAGCTCCTAAATCCTAAACTTCCTAAGCCCTCAGCCCTCAGCCCTCAGCCCTCAGCCCTCAGCCCTAAGCCCTAAGCCCTAAGCCCTAAGCCCGAAGCCCGAAGCCCGAAGCCCTAAGCCCCAAGCCCTAAGCCCTAAGCCCTAAGCCCTAAGCCCTCAGCCCTAAGCCCTAAGCCCTAAGCCCTAAGCCCTAAGCCCCAAGCCCCAAGCCCTAAGCCCTAAGCCCTAAGCCCTAAGCCCCAAGCCCCAAGCCCTAAGCCCTAAGCCCTAAGCCCTAAGCCCTAAGCCTTAAGCCCAAGCCTCGCATGGCGACTTGCCTGACAACTTGAAGCTATCGGCTGCCAGCTCCCTGGAGTAGCGACCTTCCCTTTGAACCCCTATCATCCTAGTGGCCATAAGATCCTAAACTCCTTAACCCTTTGAGACCCTTTGAGACCCTATAGACCCCCCTAAAGACACAAGACCCTAAAGCCTCTAAACCCCTTTGAAATTCCTGAACCTCCCTGAGACCCTCAACGCTTAACCCCTCAAGCCGTGAAGGCGGCTTTCTTCTCGAGCATCGAGTTCTTCAACTACCTCCCTCGCCTCTTCCTCTCTGCGCCCCTTGGTAACCCTGCAAATTCGGTTCCCCGTTGGATTCAGCTTCACAGTTTTCCCGGATGCATGTAGCCTCATGGGGTTCATGTGGTTCTCTGGAGCGAGGCTGCGTTCGCACGGAGGTCGTTTGTTGTTCGCAACCGCCGGCAGACGTTTGCGATCAGGTGTGATAACTGCTCATCTTGTGAAGACCCCTCGAAGTGTGCTCGGCCTTGCTTCGTGGCCGCGTGTCCAAGGTGTCAACAGTCAAAGGGATCGGGCAGTTTGGGTCGCGTTTTGGATCTTCGCTTCGCCTCCGCATGTCTAAAGTGTCTACGCTGATGTCCGTTCCAGGCTACTCCAGTCCTTCCATTAGCGATGAAGCCCTCCAGCCTTCCCAGCCTTGTGGAGGGCGGGGGAAAGTTGGAGGCGGAATGGGCCGGAATTCCAGCATGTCTGCGGTATTGCAGACCAACCCAAAAAAACCAGCAGCGCGCGTCGTGGATGGGTCGTGCAAGCTGCATTTTCGGGCTCGTCGCCATCAAGTTGTTGTCTTTTTTTTCTTGGCGCCCCAGAAAATGGTCGTGGAGTGCCCCACGTGCCGTGGAGCCCTCGCCGAGGCTTCTCTTCTTCGCCGGCACCGGCTTCGTGTGCGAGAATCTGCGGCTTTCTTGGCGATGTGTGTGATGAAGGGTTTCACAGGGCTTCGGACTTCGGAATGTTTAGGGAAGAAGTTTTCAGAGTTTCGCTCGCAAGTACCCCAAAGAGCGGCCTGGGGCCGGAATCCTGCAACCCCAAAGCCTAAAGCTTAGGCACCCAATCCTAAGATCCAAAACCCCTCACGAGCCTATGGCCATTCATTTCAGGTGGGGCTCCCGCCAGTACTTGGTGTTCATCGAGTGGCCGACCGGCCGCAGGGGGCGGGGCTGGTTTTTGGGGAGTTTTCGTTCCGGGTTTCAAAGGCTCTGGGTGGGCTTGGTGTGTGTGCTTCTCAAACCTCCCAGACAAGGCCCGAAGGGTCACAAGCTCAGATTGGAGCAGGGGTTCTGGCAGAAGCCGCAAAGTTCTTTCAGAAGCCTTGCGAGAAAGAACTGCGAAGCCCTAAAGCCCGAACCTCCCCAGCGCCAAGCCCTGTAACCCTCAAGCCCTGAAGCCCTGAAGCCCTAAACCCTTGCCAAACCCTAATTCCTAAACCTTCCCCCATATAATCCCTTCCCCCTTCTATTAAAGACCCCCCCAATACTAAAAATACTTTCCGGAAAATCCTGCCGAAACCGAGCCCGCCTTTTAAACCCTACTCCGAATTAGGGGGGGGGGGAGGTTCAGGGCTCCCAAAACCCTGAAGCCAACGAGGGTTTAGGGTCTAGGGTTAAGGGTTTAATTAGGGTTTAGGGCTTAGGGATCATTAAGGGTTTAGGGTTCAGAGTCCAGTCTTTGTCTCTCTCTCTCTCTCTCTCTCTTCTGTCTCTCTCTTTCAGTTTACACCACACTTAAGTACTTGATTACTTACTTGAGTAAACCTGGAGTCTAGAAAATGGCATTTCGATAAAAACCCCACCCTAATAATAAAAACACATTTCGAATTTCTATTGGGGGAGGGGGGGGGGTGGACCCCCCGTTTAACATTAGGGGGAAGGGATTAAGCTGAAGAGTCGAGGCTGGAGATTCTTCTCATCCTCGGTGTCTTCATCATCACTGGGCAGCTCCTTCCGGCTGTTGCCCCTTGGGCAGTGCAGGGTTCAGGGAGGGTTCAGGGTTCAGGGTTCAGGGTTTGGGGCTTCGGGGGTTTGCTCCTATTTTCTTTTTCAGGGCCTTGGGGCCTTGGGCTTGAATATTTAAGGCATTCATCAAAGGATGCCTGTTTCCGCAGCAATCGTCCGCCAAGCCACAGCTTCCTTGCCTCAAGCCCGACGGAATCAGGGGTGAGGTTCCGAACCCTCAAACCCCAACATGTAGTTTGGGTGCTCGTGCTGGGCATGAAGCAGTTGCCAGGCTCTCTGGATTCCTGACCTGGGCCGTACGCCGTATGTGACGTCCTAAGATGTCCTAAGCCCTACAATGTGAATCCAAGCCCGCCTCAGATTGTTGGCATCCTGGTTGCTGCCATGTCCTTCCTGGCCGCGCCCCTAGGGGAAGGGGAAGCCAAGCAAAGTCGACCCAACACCCGAAGCTCGGTTGAGCTCTCCTTCTCACAGGCATGTGTCTTCGGAATATGTACCTTACATATCCGCCCTCTATGAGCCTTACACATCAACCCTCCCTCTCTCTCTCTCCCTCTCTCTCTCTCTCGCCCCTTTCCCCCCTCCCTCTCTCTCACTCTCTCTGCCCAGGTGAAGTACTCCAAGGTGTCAGCCATCCTCGGGGCCCCGATGCGCGGCTCGCAGGTGCAGCTGTGGCTTGGCCGGGTGTTTTCCTTCTTTTATTTTGGGGGCACTTTGGGGCGGAGGTTCTTAATAAATACAGTTTGCCCCCCTCAACTCAATTCCTTCCCCCTCCCCCCCCGAACCTTAAACTCCCTGAACCCTGGCACAGGCTCTGAGAAGAGTGTCCTTGGGCCCAGGCAGCACCGCGTGAGCGAGTCCGCTGTGCACACGCTCCGCCAGGTGCAAGTGGGGAGCCTCCCGTGAGTGGCGGGTTTAGGATCCCTGAAGGATGCATAGGGCTTGGAGAATTGGGATTGGAGAATGAGTGTTCAGGGTATCCCTGAAGCTCTTTTTCGCTTAGGGTTGCGCAGCCGCCTGCTCCCTGCCCTTCTGTGTCCCTACTTGAGCAAGAGACCTCTCCGACTGGGGCCGATGACATATCTAAGAATCAGGAATTTACGGGCCAAGATGCGGCTTTCGGCTGGGCGCGCCTTTGGCCTCTATCCCCTCACTCCAAAGCGCGACCCCTCAAACCCCAAAAAGTCCGACCAGGTCCAAGACAGCTGGCTTCTCGCCATCCGCCTCAAAGGCCGGTGTGTGGGAGTCTGTTGGGGAGCATGGTTGGGGTCCCAAGTCCCAAGCCTGAGAGCCTTGGAACCGCTTTCGATGAACTGCTCATGGTGAAAGCAGCCACAAGAGTCCTACTCGTCCCCATGCAGGCTTCATCTTCTTCGGCTCCGTCCAGGGGGTGACCTCCATGGTGGCGACGCGCATCGCGCCTCGGAACAAGGAGCCAAAAGGGATTTTCAGGAGCGAGGGTTTAGGGTGTAGGGTTAAGGGTCTTGGTGGTGCGAGTCTAGCCGCACAGTCTACGGTGAAACACGTACGTGGCAACCCCTCTCTTGCTGGCTGCCAGCAAGCGCGAGGTTCCTTCTCATACCTAGACCCCCCCCACCAATAAACAAAAGCAAAAACATGCAGCTCCTTTTGTCAAAAATCTTTGTATGCACCACTAGGCTGCCCAAGAGCTGGCGTATTTCAAAGAGCTGCGGTAGCCCTGAGCCCGTAAACCCATGGTCATCAGGGACAGTAGGGTTATGAGGGACATTGAGGTTATCGAGGGAGCCGAGTGGCTTCGGTTCATGATGTGTTTCGTCGGGACTCCCAAGGAAACCGAGAAGAAGGAGCAGGTTCCGAACTACCGGAGGCAGGACAGCTGGTCACACTCGCGAGCCTGTGACACCTTTATGTAAGGAAAGAATGTAACAACGTCTTGAAGCGAACAACAGAAGCGGCCTCAAAATTTGGGCTCCCAGCCCGCCGACCCAGCCCTCGCCGAGTGCTCCCTGCCGCGCTAGCCTTTGTATTCCCAGCCATGGCCTTGCCAATGAAGACCGCGATGAAGAAGGTCATGAAGGCCAACCCAATGAAGGCCAAGGCGGCGATGAAGGGAATGAAGGCCTGCAAGCTGAGGGGCGTGCTGCATGCCATGTGCAGTAGGCCCATTAGGCTTCCGAGGCTGTTGTTGCTTGCACGTTCCTACCCGAGGTGATGAAGAAGAAGGCCATCAGCAAGATCGCTCGTGGCAAGCGCGCAAAGATGGTTGTCTTCAATGGGCGCAAGGAGAATCGGGTTTGACTCAGACTTTGTTTGCAGTGTACGCGAAATGCTACAGTAAGCATCTGCAAAAGAAAGCTTGTTTTCGAACCTTGGCATGTCTGACTTCATGGTTCAGTCGGAAAAAGGCCCTTTCATGTGGGTTTACGTGCTCTAGCTACGCAGGGCTTTGTAGGCGATGGCACCAGCAGCTTTTGCGGAGGAGAAGACCTCGTCGGGCCTCAAGAAGACGCATCTCATGAAGAACAAGCGCGGCAAGGCGGGACGGAGAGATGCTAGGGGGTTGCTCACTGCCGTAGTGTCGGGGCACAAACTTGATGACTTTCGCCAGGTCGTTACGAAGAAGCAGCACGCTGTGGGCGTGGCGCTCTTCAAGAAGATCGGCCAGCGCTGGCTCGACGCAGTCGCGACGGCAAGGAAGGAGCTGGGGATCAAGGGCTTTTGCGCTGTTGGTGGAAAGAGCGCTCAGGGCAAGGCGCTTTATGCCAAGGCCAAAGCGCTTTACGCAGCTTGAAAGGCATGAGGACGTGAATGCTTTCGTGGTAGTTCATGGAGCAGAGTCCGAATGCCAGCAGCTGCTCAGGGTGTACAGCTGATCTTGTGTGCTCCGAGATCGCGGAAGCTCTTCTAGGAGCTTATGCGTGAAGGAAGACCAACGCGGGGGATGAAAAGTCATGACATTGACATCATGGTGTGGTTGCAAGTTTAGGGTTTGTGGAAAAGTGGCAGCGAGATGTAAGGTGGCAGGCACAGAGCTGCGGAAATGGACTTTGCTGGTTGCCTGTTGGCTTGTACTGCTGTGGCATCCTGTTACACTTGTTGAGCTGCGCACGCGCTCTGCCAACGACAGCGTCGAAATCCGAAGGGTTGGGGAAGAATCCTGCTTAGAAGCCCCTCAACCCCGGGCCCTAAACCCCACAACAGTCCCACAACCACTCGAGCACGCATTAGACTCCGTCAGCTGAAGCTTCCGTGGGCACTTGGTTGCAAAGTCAGCTTTTGCTATCTTTGTCGGATTTGAGAACATCTGAGAACTGGACTCAAGAAAGGATAGAACGTAACAACGTCTTGAAGCGAACAACAGAAGCGGCCTCAAAATTTGGGCTCCCAGCCCGCCGACCCAGCCCTCGCCGAGTGCTCCCTGCCGCGCTAGCCTTTGCATTCCCAGCCATGGCCTTGCCAATGAAGACCGCGATGAAGAAGGTCATGAAGGCCAACCCAATGAAGGCCAAGGCGGCGATGAAGGGAATGAAGGCCTGCAAGCTGAGGGGCGTGCTGCATGCCATGTGCAGTAGGCCCATTAGGCTGCAGAGGCTGTTGTTGCTTGCACGTTCCTACCCGAGGTGATGAAGAAGAAGGCCATCAGCAAGATCGCTCGTGGCAAGCGCGCAAAGATGGTTGTCTTCAATGGGCGCAAGGAGAATCGGGTTTGACTCAGACTTTGTTTGCAGTGTACGCGGAATGCTACAGTAAGCATCTGCAAAAGAAAGCTTGTTTTCGAACCTTGGCATGTCTGACTTCAGGGTTCAGTCGGAAAAAGGCCCTTTCATGCGGGTTTACGTGCTCTAGCTACGTAGGGTTTTGTAGGCGATGGCACCAGCAGCTTTTGCGGAGGAGAAGACCTCGTCGGGCCTCAAGAAGACGCATCTCATGAAGAACAAGCGCGGCAAGGCGGGACGGAGAGATGCTAGGGGGTTGCTCACTGCCGTAGTGTCGGGGCACAAACTTGATGACTTTCGCCAGGTCGTTACGAAGAAGCAGCACGCTGTGGGCGTGGCGCTCTTCAAGAAGATCGGCCAGCGCTGGCTCGACGCAGTCGCGACGGCAAGGAAGGAGCTGGGGATCAAGGGCTTTTGCGCTGTTGGTGGAAAGAGCGCTCAGGGCAAGGCGCTTTATGCCAAGGCCAAAGCGCTTTACGCAGCTTGAAAGGCGTGAGGACGTGAATGCTTTCGTGGTAGTTCATGGAGCAGAGTCCGAATGCCAGCAGCTGCTCAGGGTGTACAGCTGATCTTGTGTGCTCCGAGATCGCGGAAGCTCTTCTAGGAGCTCTTGCAAGAAGGAAGACCAACGCGGGGGATGAAAAGTCATGACATTGACATCATGGTGTGGTTGCAAGTTTAGGGTTTGTGGAAAAGTGGCAGCGAGATGCAAGGTGGCAGGCACAGAGCTGCGGAAATGGAGTTTGCTGGTTGCCTGTTGGCTCTCCTGTTACACTTGTTGAGCTGCGCATGCGCTCTGCCAACGACAGCGTCGAAATCCGAAGGGTTGGGGAAGAATCCTGCTTAGAAGCCCCTCAACCCCGGGCCCTAAACCCCACAACAGTCCCACAACCACTCGAGCACGCATTAGACTCCGCTTTTGCTATCTTTGTCGGATTTGAGAACATCTGAGAACTGGACTCAAGAAAGGATAGAATGTAACAACGTCTCGAAGCGAACAACAGAAGCGGCCTCAAAATTTGGGCTCCCAGCCCGCCGACCCAGCCCTCGCCGAGTGCTCCCTGCCGCGCTAGCCTTTGCGTTCCCAGCCATGGCCTTGCCAATGAAGACCGCGATGAAGAAGGTCATGAAGGCCAACCCAATGAAGGCCAAGGCGGCGATGAAGGGAATGAAGGCCTGCAAGCTGAGGGGCGTGCTGCATGCCATGTGCAGTAGGCCCATTAGGCTGCAGAGGCTGTTGTTGCTTGCACGTTCCTACCCGAGGTGATGAAGAAGAAGGCCATCAGCAAGATCGCTCGTGGCAAGCGCGCAAAGATGGTTGTCTTCAATGGGCGCAAGGAGAATCGGGTTTGACTCAGACTTTGTTTGCAGTGTACGCGAAATGCTACAGTAAGCATCTGCAAAAGAAAGCTTGTTTCCGAACCTTGGCATGTCTGACTTCAGGGTTCAGTCGGAAAAAGGCCCTTTCATGTGGGTTTACGTGCTCTAGCTACGCAGGGCTTTGTAGGCGATGGCACCAGCAGCTTTTGCGGAGGAGAAGACCTCGTCGGGCCTCAAGAAGACGCATCTCATGAAGAACAAGCGCGGCAAGGCGGGACGGAGAGATGCTAGGGGGTTGCTCACTGCCGTAGTGTCGGGGCACAAACTTGATGACTTTCGCCAGGTCGTTACGAAGAAGCAGCACGCTGTGGGCGTGGCGCTCTTCAAGAAGATCGGCCAGCGCTGGCTCGACGCAGTCGCGACGGCAAGGAAGGAGCTGGGGATCAAGGGCTTTTGCGCTGTTGGTGGAAAGAGCGCTCAGGGCAAGGCGCTTTATGCCAAGGCCAAAGCGCTTTACGCAGCTTGAAAGGCATGAGGACGTGAATGCTTTCGTGGTAGTTCATGGAGCAGAGTCCGAATGCCAGCAGCTGCTCAGGGTGTACAGCTGATCTTGTGTGCTCCGAGATCGCGGAAGCTCTTCTAGGAGCTTATGCGTGAAGGAAGACCAACGCGGGGGATGAAAAGTCATGACATTGACATCATGGTGTGGTTGCAAGTTTAGGGTTTGTGGAAAAGTGGCAGCGAGATGTAAGGTGGCAGGCACAGAGCTGCGGAAAGGGACTTTGCTGTTGCCTGTTGGCTTGTACTTCTGTGGCATCCTGTTACACTTGTTGAGCTGCGCATGCGCTCTGCCAACGACAGCGTCGAAATCCGAAGGGTTGGGGAAGAATCCTGCTTAGAAGCCCCTCAACCCCGGGCCCTAAACCCCACAACAGTCCCACAACCACTCGAGCATGCATTAGACTCCGTCAGCTGAAGCTTCCGTGGTCACTTGGTTGCAAAGTCAGCTGTTGCTATCTTTGTCGGATTTGAGAACATCTAAGAACTGGACTCAAGAAAGGATAGAATGTAGCAACGTCTTGAAGCGAACAACAGAAGCGACCTCAAAATTTGGGCTCCCAGCCCGCCGACCCAGCCCTCGCCGAGTGCTCCCTGCCGCGCTAGCCTTTGCATTCCCAGCCATGGCCTTGCCAATGAAGACCGTGATGAAGAAGGTCATGAAGGCCAACCCAATGAAGGCCAAGGCGGCGATGAAGGGAATGAAGGCCTGCAAGCTGAGGGGCATGCTGCATGCCATGTGCAGTAGGCCCATTAGGCTTCCGAGGCTGTTGTTGCTTGCACGTTCCTACCCGAGGTGATGAAGAAGAAGGCCATCAGCAAGATCGCTCGTGGCAAGCGCGCAAAGATGGTTGTCTTCAATGGGCGCAAGGAGAATCGGGATTGACTCAGACTTTGTTTGCAGTGTACGCGGAATGCTACAGTAAGCATCTGCAAAAGAAAGCTTGTTTTCGAACCTTGGCATGTCTGACTTCATGGTTCAGTCGGAAAAAGGCCCTTTCATGTGGGTTTACGTGCTCTAGCTACGTAGGGTTTTGTAGGCGATGGCACCAGCAGCTTTTGCAGAGGAGAAGACCTCGTCGGGCCTCAAGAAGACGCATCTCATGAAGAACAAGCGCGGCAAGGCGGGACGGAGAGATGCTAGGGGGTTGCTCACTGCCGTAGTGTCGGGGCACAAACTTGATGACTTTCGCCAGGTCGTTACGAAGAAGCAGCACGCTGTGGGCGTGGCGCTCTTCAAGAAGATCGGCCAGCGCTGGCTCGACGCAGTCGCGACGGCAAGGAAGGAGCTGGGGATCAAGGGCTTTTGCGCTGTTGGTGGAAAGAGCGCTCAGGGCAAGGCGCTTTATGCCAAGGCCAAAGCGCTTTACGCAGCTTGAAAGGCGTGAGGACGTGAATGCTTTCGTGGTAGTTCATGGAGCAGAGTCCGAATGCCAGCAGCTGCTCAGGGTGTACAGCTGATCTTGTGTGCTCCGAGATCGCGGAAGCTCTTCTAGGAGCTCTTGCAAGAAGGAAGACCAACGCGGGGGATGAAAAGTCATGACATTGACATCATGGTGTGGTTGGCTTGTACTGCTGTGGCATCCGGGTACTGTTGTTAAAACGACAGCTCATTGGAACAACCACATGATCTTCCCTAGCCCCACATACCCCCCAGCAGAATCCAGGCACTCCAATTTGATGTTGTTTGGTCTTCTTGCTCGGGCTTAGGATTGTTTTGGGATGTTGAGGCTCCTTCTCAGGGGGACCTGCGGGAAGACGAACCCTTCAGGCTCCAGATCGTCATCTTCGACTGTGCCCAGCTCGACGGTATCGAGGCCCCAACTCATCGTCAATCATTTTTCCATTTCAGTCGGTTTCAAGCATTTTCAATGACTTTCAATCATTTCCGAGCTCCAAATATAGTCGGAGACCCCGAGGCCTCGAGGCTCCCAAAATGCGAATGCGAATGCAGCGGCCATATGCGACCACGCTGTGGCAGCAGCGATGTTATGTCTCTACAGCGGGAGAAGTTCCCAGCGCTGGCGTTAGTGGGTTTTCGGGGTTCGCAATGCTTGTTTCCAGCGTTGTCACAGTGGCCCCCGAGCCGTGAATCCCGAACGCATCCCGCACACCGTCAGCGAGACTTGCAGTTAAACATGTTGTGGTGCCGAAGTGCTAAGACTGGTGGATAAGACGGTTTCACGGTCTCTCAGACTTCAGCTGCTTGTTGCCATATCCGCAGGTCTCGGCGGCGAAGTCCCTCACCAAGCTGACACAGGTGCCGTGGTTCTCACTAGATCACCAGGTTAAGGGCTTGCTTTAGAAGTTTGATGCCCAACAGCCGCAAAGCCCTCAGTTTTTTTTTTGTCAGCTTTTTTCTAACAGGAGTCCAAGAGCGCGGGCGTGCAGATAGTCTTCAGCACCTTGGCTTAGTCGCTCTGCGAGCTCTCCAATCCCTGAACTTGAAATCCCTGTATACGCACTTATACACCCTACAAGCGCCAACGCCTGAACCCTCAAAGCTAAACCCCACATCGAATAAGCATCTCGAAGCTCTAAACCCTAAGCCCCCAAACCCTAAAGCCCGTCAACCCTAAGCCACTTTAGGATTCAGGCCGCACCCTGCCACCCTGGACTGAACTGCAAGGCTCTGTGTCCAAGGAGCTGGCGCAGGACCCCACCCCCCCTTGTGTGTGTTTTTTGCGGCTTGCCGGAGATGGTGAACAGCATTGGGATCTTGGGCAGCTTGTGGCTTGGCGTTTTGCGCTTGCCTCCTTGGGTGATGCCGTGCTTGCCTCCTTGGGTGATGCCGTGCCCCTGGCGGAGGAGATGAAAAGCCGTGGCGTCATCCATGGAGACCACGCAGCTAGGCTGAAGGAGGGATTTCTCGTGGCTTCGTGGGCAAGGCCGATGAGACGGTGGCGGCAACCTTTCAGGTTTTTGATCGTCTAGATAGAGCTTGTGCGGCGTTCCTTGCCAGAAGACCCCTTTTCCGGCAATGAAGGTGGTTTACACAGGCTGAGGCTGGAGGCTCTGTGGACAGGGTTGTCAGAGCTGGCTCAGGACCTCTTCCCCGATATGGAAGCAGCAATCTTCTACGTGGAGGAGGGAAGGGTCGGTCAGAGGGTGCCGCTGCTCCTCATGGCCCAAAGATGCGCGAGCTACCTGCAGCAAGCGGCAAGCTGAGTGTCTTGCCATGTCTTGCCCCCCTCGAAGGAGCTCGCCCTGCTGTATGCAAAAGCCATGGAAGGCCTGGCTTGCAGCGAAAGGGAACCCCGCGCCCGGCGTGTGCACGTGAAGCCCAAATGATCGTGGCGGTTTAGGTGCCAAGGAGTCAGGCTTCACGAGGCCCCTTTGCCTGTGTCAGGCCTCTTCTCCTCGCTGCACCCGGCGATCCAGTACCACCAGACCGCACGCAAGGAGCAGGTGCAGAAGGGTTGGGACGGCTGGGAGTTGGGAGAATTCTTGACTTGGAGCCGAACCGATTGTCGCCTTTTACTGCCTCGTGTGTGCAACTGAGCCAGTTGTGTTCGGAGACGCGGGGGAAAATGGAGGTGGGGGGGCTCCGAAGGACAAAAGCGATACTTCTGGATTGTTGTATGGCATCTCTGATGGTTTTGAGTGGCAGGTCAGCTTCGAGCCCTTCGGTGGCATCCTTGTCACCGATGATGCCAGGCGCCCTTCTGAGCTGCCGAGCCTGCTAGCTCTCTACGCCAAGCCCTGGAAGCCCTGGATGGTTCTGTCAGGCTGGGTTGCCCCTGGCGGTTCTGCACCCGCGCTGCTGGGCTGGACTTGAGACAGTTGCGACAGCTGCGCGAATCTCACGGCGGGCCATTGCGTACTTTGATTCGTGTCGCACGCTTCTTTCCCTTGACGCCTCTGCAAGTATATCCCGAAGGGCCACCTACAGCCTAAACGCATCCGACCTGGTATACCAGGTTAGGACCATCATGTCAGGAACGTCCGAACGTCCCTCCCCGCACACATCCCGAGTGTTGGGGGTTGGTCCTGAGGACGATTGCCCGAACTAGGCCATAGTAGTCCTGGAGGCGGCCACCTTCACCCTAAGATACTTCTTGAGTTAGTTTGTTCAGGGAAAGTCGATGCCACTTCAAGCACGCAGTGGCCCCGATGTGCATGGTTTTCCCACTTTGGCTCCCTCTCAGCAGTCCCAGATGTATGAATCTGATGTCCTATTGCACCGCATCTACATGTTGGCATTGTTGGCATCACGAGCAGTTACCTGGATAGACGGCACAGCTGATGAGTTCATGAATGTGCATGAAGCGTGTGGGAACCTCAACCCAGGTCAGCATCACCAAGCACAGCACCCTACTCTGGTCGCCGCGAGCCTGGAAATCCCACCCGTTCAGAAACTTCATCTTCAAGTCCCGAGCTACCTACCTCCTATACCCTCCTTTAACTTTGCCTAAAACCCTAAAACCCTCAAATTTCTAAGGCGTGGGTTCTAGGTTCAGCTTATCCACGGGGGTGGCGGGACACGCCTGGTCAACCCCAAGGTCGCAGGAGAAGCACGAGGTGCTCTACTTGGTCCACACCGGATCCGTAGGCGCAGTGTGAGTCGTCTTTGGTCGCATGGGTTTAGGGTTTAAGGGTTGCGGGGTTTAGGGTTTAAGGGTTTCGGGGATTTGGGGTTCAGGGTTGGGAGCCACAGGTGCTTGTAAGCTCGCAAGGGTGGGGGTTGATGGGCGTAGGGGTTTCCGGGGTTTGGAGGTTTAGGGTTTCGGGGCTTTTGGGGTTTTGGAGGTTTAGGTTTTGTTTGGTTCAAGCCGGGCTTTGTTGTGGTACCTCGGTCATGTGCTCCCACCGTCTTTAATTTAGCCTTCGTCGAAAGTTCTCTTCTAAGTAGTCTCATGCCGGTTCCCCAAGCCTTGCTTACATACATATGCTTATGGGGCAGAAAAGGAGAGCTAAGAAGAATGCGGCTGCAGAATTATTCTGAATTTGGTGGTCGTGTTTCTGGTTTCCTTCAGGTCTAGCATTTAGGACCTATAGGGCTTGAGGGTTTAGGGGGCTAGCCTGGTTCACAGAGAGAGCACGGGAAGATCGCAAAGTTTTCGGAGGCATCTTCGAGTCGGTCCCCGAGGACAGGAAGCACTGGAAGTCACCAGTGGCGGCAGCTCGGGCAGTGCTCGGAGACATGCGGTTATGCAGTATAGCCGCTAGGGGCATGAGTCTGGACCGAGGGTAGAGTTCAAAGGATTTCTTGCTTCTAGGGTTAGGGATTACGGCTTGCAATTGAAGAGCCTTGCTTACGTGTGTCAGAGCAGGAATTGAGGTGTTCGGTGAGGTTTTTTTGAGCTGCCGGCACCTGATCAAATGCCTTCATAGCGATTGGTCATGCACGCTTCGTTTGGGGGCTCAGAGTCCGAATGCGATGCATAGTTCCCAAGGTCTACGGCCATGGCCAGTTTCTGAACCTGGTTGCTTGGCCAGCATTATGCCATTAGACTTCCGACGGCGCGCAGGTACCCGTGGTTCAAGGTTGGTTTCTGTCCGCAGCGGACGCAAATCGGCTCGTGGAAATCTAGTAGTAGGAAGATATCTTTCACCCCGCCCCCCAAGAAGCAAAACCCGAACTCCGTTCATTTCCGCTAACAGCTAATGCAGCCAGGCCCTTCTTTTGATGTACGTGTGGCATGTTCCTTTCATCTGTCTTTTGTAAATACGACGGTTGGAGGCCAGTGATTCTTCTCCTAAAGCAACACATGAGAATCTTAACCCATTCTTCGTGACAATATTTCGAGTCAGCTTGTTTCAATTTTGTTTGGGCGAATGAGAAGGCCAAATTCAATCAAGATTCCACAAGAACCAGAAATTCAGAACCAGAACAATCAAAAAGACAATGCCCACGAAACAAACAAGACAAAGCCCACAAAAAGCCAGCACAAAACAAGCAATTTTCGGGAACTCCTGGGAACAAGGCTCGTAGCAGCCCAAGCTTCAAGCTTTATATTTTTGTTGTCTGGTTTGCTTTGTTTGTTTGTTTGTTTGGCATTCTGTGGCATTAATTGTTGCTTGGAATGCCGTAGAGATTGGAGAACTAGCAGCAGCGGATGGACACTGACCTGGAGCGAGTGTTCCTGGACGATCTTCTCACTTCTATAAGGCCACCCAATGCCTCCCCTAGGATCCCAAGGACTCTAGGCCGCAAGCAAACCTTGTATTCAGGAGATGTTGGTGAGCATCTTGGCTGAACAACGTTGCGGTGCTGAGTCGGCTTTGCGCCCTTTTAAACCGACGGCCCTCTGCCCTGTTCCCGGGGCATCAGCTGGTTTAGGATTAGGGTGTGCCGGTAAAGCAAGTTTCGGTATGGAGATGCGGGCTTGCCTGTCCACCGGTAATTGCAACACTAAATCAGTCTTGGCCTTGTATT